GCGCCCTCCCCCTGGGGCGCCGGAGTGCCCCGCGCCGCGCAGTGTGCGCTCCGAGGCCCCGAGACCTCCGCGTGCTGCAGCAGCGGCACCTCCGCGTGCCGTCCCCCGGGCTCCACGGGCGTCGCACTCCGTCCGGGCTCCACGGAGCGCTCCCGGGCTGCCGCGGTGCCCGCCCCGAGCTCGGAGCGGAGCGCGCGGCGCTCCGCCGTGCTGCCCCGCGCCCGCTGGACGCCGAGGCGCCGCGGCGTCCGTCCTCCTCCTCCCCCTCGATCCTCCTCCTCCTCCTCCTCCTCCTCCTCCTCCTCCTCCTCCTCCTCCTCCTCCCCCTTGCCGTCGGCCCTGGCAGGATTCCCGTCCGTGCCAGCAGTGTGTTCCTCCCTCCCAAAACTCCATTCTCATGCCATCCCGCCTGCCTCCCTGCCTGCTGCCGCTCCCTCCTCCTGCCGCGTCCCTCCTCCCTGATTCCTGCCTCCGTACGAGAAGTAGAAGACGACGACGACGACGACGACGACGACGACGACGACGACGACGACGACGACGACGACGACGACCACGACCACGACCACGACCACGACCGCGACCGCGACCACGAGGGCGACCACGACCGTGACTACGACGGCGACGACGACGACCACGACGACGACGACGACGACGACGGCGAATTACGGCAGCGGCGGGCTGCGAGCCGCAGCGGGCCTTGTCCGTCGCCAGGTCAACCTCGATGGTCGGGTTGCCCCGGGAGTCCAGGATCTCCCGGGCCTTCAGCTGCCGGATGAAGGCCATGATCTCCCGCCCCCATCTCCTCCTCCTCCTCCTCCTCCTCCTCCTCCTCCTCCTCCTCCTCCTCCTCCTCCTCCTCCATCCTCCTCCCCATCCCCCTTCCAGGACGGGATGCGGAGGAGGAGGACGGATGGATGAGTGCATGAGTATCGTGTCACCGATCCCCATCCCCAGCGGCGCGGCCTGGGTCCCAGTGGCCGATTTGCCACCCAAGATGGGGATGTATAGGCCGTGCCCTTCGGGCTTGGAGGGGCGCATCCCCAACTGGGGTGGTAATTTGGTGGGGGTCTCGAAGAAGATGGAGATGGGGATGCGGATCAGTGAAACGATACCGAATGGATGGATGGATGGATGGATGGATGGATGGATGGATCGATGGATGGACAGAGCAGCCCCGAGGGGAAAGCTCTCGCAAGAAACAAAAACATCAGGGTGCAGTGGTCTTCAGAACCCTTTCACCGGTCCCGGAGGGGTGGCGCCACCCCTGAATGCGCACCAGGAGGGAGGAGGAGGAGTCAGGGGAGGAGGGGGAGGAGGACGAGGGATGGGCGGGGAGCCAGCGTGGATGAAGCGGTGGTTTTGAGAATCATCGATGGGCAAGGTGCTGCCGCTCAAGACCCAAAACGCATCAGGGGCCCTCAGTCGTCAGCTAGAATGTGTACAATGAGGGAAATCAACAGCCCAACACGGCGAAAAGGTGCTCATGAAGAGATTATTCACAATAGGAGTCTATTCGATTTCTGCCTTGGGAGGCCCGAAGTGGGGTCTGGAAACACCAGAACAAAACATGTAGGATGAAACACTGGCCCTCAGGATGAGCTCCAGAGCCCTGGGGCCCACCTCACGAACAAGTTGCGACGTCGAATGCGAGGGAGGAGAGAGTACGGGGCAGGACGGATGAAGAGGTTTGGGGACGGTTTGAGCCATTGGAGCCTCCAGAAGCCTCCTGAGGCCTCTGGAGACGTCTGGGGACCTCTGGGGACATCTGGAGACCCTCACGGGGAATTCTGCAGACACCTGAAGAACCCAGAAACCTCCTGGGGATAAGGGAGGAAAGGGGACAAGGGGAGAAGGAGAAGGGGTATCCTCTCTCTCTCTCTCTCTCCTCTCTCTTTCTCTCTCTCTCTCTCTCTCTCTCTCTCTCTCTCTCTCTCTCTCTATATATATATATAGATTCCTCTTCCTATATTTCTATCAGCCCGGACGGGGGGAAAACCCGTCCCCCCCCCCTCCCCCCAAACGGGACTCCCTGGATCTGGGGCTTTGGGACCCTCCAGACGGGCCTCGAAGCGGCCACCGGGCCTCACATGGCGTTTTGCCCAGCCTTCCCAGCACACCTAGGGCGATCAGGGGGGTCATCGGAGACGTCCCAGAGACCCCCAAGACAGCACAAGAGCGCTCCAAGAGTGACCGACGTGACTCAAGATGGTCCAACAGGCCTCCAGGACGAAGCCGCCTCGGAGGCTCCAAAATCGCCCCACAACCATCCGAAAGGGCTTCCAGGCAGTCCAAGAGAGCCCCAAACCGGCACAACACGAGTACAAGATGGCCCCCAGAGAGCCCCATGGCGGCCCAAGATGGCCAAAAGACACCCTCCGAAGAATCCCACCAGCCCTTTGGGCGTGAGTGGTTTAGAGAGCTCTCTCTGTTCTCAACCCCCTAACCCCCTACTTCCCCTTCGGGGAGGGGTTTACCCCTCCCCCTACCCCCTCCCCCTGGGCCTGGAGAGGGCGGGCCGAGTGCAATCAAGGGGGTCTTTTTCGACTCCTGGGAGGGCCAAAAAACGACGACCCTCACGAGGATTCTGGCCCCCAGGGGGGGGGGACCGTTTGGCGCCTCAGACCGTCTTGGAAGCAAAAAACATTGATGTTACTATGGTTTTGGCCCCATTTTGGCCTCCTGAGGGGGCTGCGCTCCTCTTCCTTCATAGCAAAATCATTGATTTTACAAAGTTTTGGGCTCATTTTGTCCTTCTCAGGGGGCAGCGGTCATTTACGCTTCTGAGGAGGTCTCAAGAGGCCCCAAGCTGGCCCCAAGAGGCCCCCAGGAGGCTCCCAAGAGGCCTCCAAGGGGCCCCAAAGAGGCCCCCAAGAGGCCCCAAGAGGCCACCAAGAGGCCCCCAAGAGGCCCCCAAGAGGCCCCAAGACGCCCCAAGAGGCCCCCAAGAGGCCCCCAAGAGGCCCCCAAGAGGCCCCGAAGAGGCCCCAAGAGCCTCCAAGAGGCCCCCAAGAGGCCCCACGAGGAGCCCGAACGACTCACACCAGGACGAGGGGCCCGAACGACTCGCACCACGAAGAGCCCGAACGACTCACACCATAAGGAGGGACCCGAACGACTCACACCAGGACGAGGCGCCCGAACGACTCACGCCACGAGGAGCCCGAACGACTCACACCACGACGAAGAGCCCGAACGACTCACACCACGAGGAGCCCGAACGAGTCACACCAGGACGAGAATCCCCAAACGACTCAAACCACGAGGAGCGCTTTCTCTCCCTCCTCCTCCACCTCGTCCTTCTCCCGCTCCCCCCACAAGGAGGATGTACAAGGAGGCGGGGGGAAGGAGGAACAGGGGAGATATGCGGGGCCAAGCGGACACACGCCTGAAAAACACGACTGTCGGCATGCTTCACGAGAGTTGCTGCTGTGAGATGGGCTGGTGGGGACACGCGAAGCGTAAAGAATTCCAAATCGTGAATCGGTCGTTCAGGGAGACCGCGGTTGGAGGCAGGGTGGCCCGAGGAAGCCCCCGGAGGCCCCCGGAATACGCCCAGGAGGTCTCCAGAAGGCCTTAAGAAAGCCTGAAACAACTTTTGTGTGGCCCCTAGAGGCTCTCCAAGGAGGAGCCTCCGCAAAAAAGAGCTGAGGAGGATGGGGAGAATGCGCAGGGCATGGCGAAAATAAGGAAAAAAACATGGAGGAAGGATAACGAATAACATTATTATAGCGGCGATGCCAGAAAAGGCAACCAGGAGTTATCGCTAAAGTGTCGGCTTGACCTTCCCGCTATTCCGCCTGCATACCAAACTTCAAGGACCAAGGTGCATGGCGCGAAGCGCCACTGCAGTCTTGCATAGATATATATATATATATAGAGATAGATAGATAGATAGATAGATAGATAGATAGATAGATAGATAGATAGATATGTAGATATATAGATAGATAGATAGATAGATAGATAGATAGATAGATAGATAGATAGATTCCTCGTAAACCACCTCCACATCCTCTTCCTACTCCTCATCCTGCTGCTCTTCCACTTCCTGCTCCTCGTGATCATTATCACTGTTATCATCCTCACCACCACCAACAACAATCAGTTTCATCATCGTCATCACCATCCGTCCTCCTCCTCCACCACGTCCTCCTGATCCTCCTCCTCCTCCTCGTCATCCTCATCCTCATCCTGATCCTCGTCCTCCTCCTCCTCCTCCGTGGCCATGTGAGCACTTCGGCTTAAGCCATCCTCCAGTCTTTCTCCCAGAGAGCCTGTCAGACTGGCTCTTTGCCGCGCCCCTTACAGGGCTCCCTTCGACGCGCGGCATGTGAACGTTTTCCTGTTCGGCGTTTCAAGATTGGGCGGAGGGGGAGGGGGAGGGGGGGAACTGGCTCCGCTCCTCTGCTTAGCGCGACTGTTTGTAACTGTGCGTCCTGTGGAGGGGACTCCAACTGCTCGAGACAGGCGCCAAAAACAGCCAAGATCTACTCCATGGCGGGAAGGCAGGGGGGAGGCAAGGGCCCGCGCCGATCGGCAAAACAAACAATGCGTGAGGGAACGGCCACCTTCGACGCTGGGCATGGCAGCGCGCCACGCGGATGTTTGCACAGCAATTCGAGGCACTCCAAGCTCGGCACCTCCAAGCTCGACACCTCCACTCGCGCTGCTGCTCGAGCTGCTCCAAGGGGCGGCGCTCGAGGCGCGCCAGGGCCGCGGTGCACGGCTGGACCCCCCCAGCACGGGCCCGGCGCGGGGCGAGAACGTCACGTGCAGAGGTAGTTCAGCGGCGGAGTGAGTCTCGGTAATGCGACTCCAGCGCACTGGCGCGCGCGGCTGCCAGGGCCGCGGTGCACGGCCAGGCCACCCAGCACGGGCCAGGCACAAAGCGAGAATGTACCGCGCGGAGATGGTTCAGCGGTGGGATGTCTCACGGCGGGGAGCAAGCAGGGGAAGTGAGAAGGGCCGTCTAGGTGCGGCTTCGTGTGTGTCCCCGAAGACAGAGAACTCCTCAGAAGGCGCGAGGGCTGCTGAGAAGTCCCGCCGCCTTCTGAGAAGGCCTTCTCCTTCTCATTCCCCCCCCCTCCCTCGCCGCCGAGTCTCGGTCGTGCGACTCCAGCGCGGTGGCGCTTGCGGCTGCCAGGGCCGCGGTGCACGGCCAGACCCCCCAGCACGGGCCGGGCGCAGGACGAGAACGTCGCCTGCGAGGATGGTGCAGCGGTGGGGTGCCTCGGTGATGCGACTCCTTTCGTGCTGCATGCCGCTCGGCTTCGCGAGGACGCCTGGACCTCGCGCGGCGAGCGGGCCAAGGTCCGCACGGGGCCGGCGGCACACCGCGCCGCCCTCGAAGACACCGCCCTGGTCGGGCAGGTCGTGGCAGCGCTGCGGTCCGGGCCGTGCACTGGCGAGCCGGGCATCGCCTCGGGTAGAGGCCTCCTGGATGGGGTCCGACTCGATGGATGGGGTCGAAGGATCCCGCCGCATCGCAAACGCATCGCCGACGCATCGCCGATGTATCGACGGTGCATAGGCGACGTCGGCGTGGGGAAACACGGGCTCCACATCGAGCCGCATCATCGATGCATCGGCGATGCGGCGCGATCCTCCGACCCGATCTACTCGGACCCCACCTACGAGGTCTAGATCGGGTGAGGACTCGCGCGAGCCTCTTGGATGGCAACGAAGCCACCACGTCGCTGCCGCATCACCATCGACCAGGGCAACGGCTCGCCCAGCATCCTCTGAGAGGGCGCTCTCAGAGGCAGCGGTGCGCTTGAGGTCGTCAGCGTCACGGGAGAGAGAGACCCGTTGCATTTCCAGGCGAATCCTAAACTCGCCATCGCTCGGACGCCCATTCCCCGTGCACGCTTCGGTCCCGTTCGCCTGTCCCTCGGGATGATCCGGGACGCTCCTCGATGGTTCTCGCCGAGAAGAAGTGCGCACGTCCGAGCGATGTCAAGTAAACAGTGCGAAGGCGCCCAGGGTGGGCAGCATCAGAGGCGAGGCGTCGGGCGGCGGCAGGCCGACGAGACGGGCTCGAGCGCTCGAGCCGGGGCCGAGCGCTCGAGCCTGGGCCCGCGGGGGCGGGTGTGCGCGCCCAGCTTGCGGCGGGGCCCCGAGCGCGCGGCGGAGGCCGCGCGCACGGTCGAGGCGCACATCGCTGAGACGGCCCAAGCTGTTATCTCAAAGAAGAGAAGAGCCGCAAACCTTCCACAAGAAACCCAGCCCTGAGACCCCAGGACGTCCATGGATGTCTGGTGTGGGAACGTCACGCCTTCCATGGCAAAACCATCGAAGCCCAAGAAACCCAGGGCACCCTGGAGGCGAGCAGGGCGTTTCTTGGCATGGGCCTCCACTGCATGAAAGAAAAAACGCCATGACCAGAAACTTTTTGGCACTCCGCGCGGACAGCGCGGATCCAAGAGATCCGCGCGGAGCACCACAAACGTTGATGTTTATGCCGCTTGCTTCAAGTTGTGCCCACGATTGTCTGCAAGGTGACCCAGGCTAAAACAGGGCTAGGACCGGGATAACTCGCTCCAGAGCGTTCCGGAGCGCTCTCAGAGCGTTCCGGAACGCTCTGGAGCGGCCGCGGCGCCCAATACATCCTCCAAACCCGCCGATTCTCAGAGACTTCGAGTTATCCCGATCCGATTTTGTCCCGATCTTCGCGTCGTTTTATAGGCCCGAGAGAGCCAGGGAGAGTCAGAATCGATTCGGCAGACCGGCTCGGATCGAACTGTGTGCACCGGATCGGACGGCACCGCCACGGAAGCGGCACCGCATCGGCCGGGCTGCGCCAGGATGCACACCCGCGCGGTGCGGGCGCCGGGCCGCATCGGATCGACAGGAAAGCCGAATCGGCTCGGATCGGGCAGGCCGAAATCGGTATCGACTGGGATCGGGCAAGCCGAATCGACTGGGATCGGATCGACGGGAACTCCGAATCGACTGGGATCGGGCAGGCCGAGGTCGGCATCGACTCGGGTCGCTCGGAGCGCAGTGGGCCGCGGAGGGCTGCTCGGGCCACCTCTGCTTCCGCCCGAGGGCTCCGTCGGCGCCGCGCGTGCGCCGTGGGGGCAGGCCACGCTCCTCGACAACGGGCGTCGTGGAGGCTCTGCGCGGGCCTGCCGCGGGCGGCGCCTCCGCGGACGGGAACGCCAGTGCCACCCTCCTCCTCCTCCTCCTCCTCCTCCTCCTCCTCCTCCTCCTCCTCCTCCCCCTCCTCCCCCTCCTCCTCCTCCTCCTCCTCCCCCTCCTCCTCCTCCTCCTCCGTCGCGGTGGTCACGTCGACAACGATGGCCTGTCGCCCGGAGAGGCGCGTCGACGACGACGCTGCGGTCCCACCTTTCGGGCCCAAGCTGGGCCAGGAGGCGCTGCGCACGCTGGCCGAAGCTCTTGCGTCGAGGCCCGCCAACGTCGCCAGCGTCGCTGAGCTCAAGGAGACGGAGCAGCAGCTCCAGATTTCGGCAGACTTGGACGGCGTTGGTTTGAAGCCCCGCAGTGAACGGGATGGGCTTGCCAGCCACTGCCTCCTCATGATACATGTTATAGCGCACGGTGAATTTACGACTGCCTTCTCCACGAGATCGATGCTGGGGGAGCGCAGCACTGCTGCAAAATGCTGCATGCCGAGTTCCTCGTCGGCACCCTCGAATCGAGTGCGCCCGAGTGCCTGCATGCCCCAACGTTCCGCACGATTCAGCCTGCCCCCACGATCTCGAGAAGGCTTCCGACTCAGGGTCTTCGTCCCCGTTGCTTTGTGATGCTGTGAAATTAAATTTGCCTCACTCATGGCGCCTCCGTTTCCAGGAGGCGACCTTAATCCCCCTCCTCCATCCATCCATCCATCCTGCCATCCATGCACCCATCCATCCATCCATCCTCCTCCATCCCTCCATCACTCCTTCTCATCTCCTTCCTCATCAGAATCACCATCACCATCATTGCACTGCGCGTCTTCAAGAGATAATGATCATCATTAATTGCCATCATCATAAGCAGCCTGTTCTTCGTCATCGTTGTAATCATCATCGTCACCACATTACAATCACCATCACCATTATGAGCATCGTCAACACCACCATCATCATCACTATCCGCATCATCAACGTCATCATCATCAGCATCAGCAGCATCATCACCATTATTAGCACCACCACCATCATGAGCGTCATCATCCTCATCATCAGCAGCAACATCAGCATCCTCATCGTCACCACCGCCAAGACCACCATTATCATCAGCAGCATCATCAGCATCATCATCATCAGCATCAGTATCATCATCGGCATCATCAGCAGCATCAGCATCATCAGCATCATCATCGTCATCATCAGCATTATCATCATCATCATTTACATCGTAAGCATCATCAGCTACACAATCATCATCATCATCAGCATCATCATCATCATCGCCATCCTCATCATCATCAGCATCAGCAGCAGCATCAGCAACAACAACAGCATCCTCATCCGCATCACCCTTCTCCTCCTCATCATCCTTATCGTTACCATCGTCATCGTCATCGTCATCAGCATCGGCATCATCACCAGTACAGACACCATCGCCGTTATCAGCAACATCATCATCAGCATCATCAGCATCACCATCATCATCATCAGCAGCAGCATCATCATCAACATCATCATCATCCGCCTCTGCCTCCTTTTCGTCGCCCTCATCCTCCACACCCTCCTTGTCTTCCACCTTCTGCTCCTCCTCCTCAGCCTCCTCCTCCTCCTCCTTCTCATGTTCCTCCTCCTCCTCAGCCTCCTCCCCATCCGTCTCCTGCATCCTTCCATCCTTCTCATCCATGTAACTAAGCACGTATCCAGGAGTCTCTGGGGGAGCCCCCCAAAAAAATGTGCGGTCCCCAAAAGTCTCCATAGGATTTCAAAAGCTCCAAGAGACCCCCGTTTGTCAACAGCAAAAGCAACGACGACGACGACGACGACGACGACATCAACAAACAGTGTAAGACTGTTCGCGCTTATCTGCTCACCTGCCATTCAGCACGTATATCCCTCGATACCTGCCCTCCTCGTCTTCGATCGTACCCCCATTGGGGTCACATATCTTTCTTACTTGCAAAATGTAGTTCGTGAAGCCACCAAGCCAGAGAAAGAGAGGACGGATGGAAAGAAGGGTCAAGGGGGAAGGAGGAGGATAGAGCATGAGAGAGCGCAGCAGTGGTGAGGCTCGGAGCAGAAAACACGTGGCAGAACCTGGCGGGCAGATCGGTTGGGTACACCCTAGCAGGCGGGTCGGGAAGGCGGGCCCAGGCGGCCAGGTCGAGCAGGCGGGTTGCTGAAGCGTGCGTCCTGCATGAATCGCAAGGAGGTCTCAAGCAAAGAAATCGTTAGGATATCCACAGCGAGAGCGTGATTCCTGAGTGTCGAGGGCGCGGCGTCTGAATAAATTGCGAGGGAGTCCCACGCGAGAGCGCGATTCCTCTGTTTATTGTGAGTGAGTCCCGCGAGAAAGCTCGATTTGGGCATTAAGTATGAGGAAATATCAGGCGGGAGCTGTTTTTGTTATAACTCGGGGGCCAAGGGCCCAATTTGGTGACCCCCCACTTCCCTTCTAAAAAACAGGGTGCGAGCCCAGGGAGAGGCACTCTATCACTGAAAAATAAAATGTGCCCCAGAGGAGAGGGGTTCAACAACACATTCAACCCGTATAATGGGGATGCGCGGTAAGGATGCAAGGGCCTTGGGCACCCATGCCGAGGGTTCTTCGAGCGGGGCTGGCCATCGAAAACGGTCAAGCATGGACCGAAGATGAGCGAAGAGGCAAGGATGCTTGGGAAGTTGGTCATCTTTATTGTACGGGCTGACTTCAAGTATTCTCTACAAATGAAAAATCAACAAGAGAATCCAACAACCCTCCACCACCCCCACCCGGAACCCCCACGCGTCGCCCGCGCCGCGCGCCCAACCGCCCGCGCGCGCGTGCACGCGGGGCGCGTCTGGGGGGGGGGGGGCGAGCGGCCCCTGCGAGCACAGCGGCGGTGCCAACAAGCGGCCTGCGGCGCCAGCCGCGGCACTCCGCGGCATTTGGAAGCGGTTTTTTGTCGGCGGGCTTTGGCGGAGGCGACGACGACGGCGACGACGACGACGACGACGACGACGACGAAGACGACGACGACGACGACGACGACGACGACGACGACGACGACGACGACGACGACGACGACGACGACGACGACGGCAGCGGCGGCGGCGGCGGCGGCGGCGGCGGCGGCGGCGTTGGCCCCTGCGCCGAAGACGACGAAGGCCACAAAGCCACAGGACCGCACGGCAGGGCCAGCAGGGGAAGACTGGCACGTCGGCTGCGGGGGTCGGAGCAGGCGGGGCGGCTCGGGGTCAGGAGGGCGGAGGCCGGCGGAGGAAGGAACGCCGAATCCCTGTTTCGGCGGCGGCCAACGGAACTCTTCGAGGCAGTTGGACAACGATCGAAAACGGATGTTGCGCTGGATGAGGTAGCGACCTTGCGCGGCGGCTTCCGCAGGCCGCCAGCGCAGCACGCTACATTAGCGACAGGGCGGCTACGCGCGAAGTTGCCCAAGGAGCGCACGCGCCAGTGTCGTCGCAAACGACCCCGCTGCTGTCCCGGAAAACGCTCCGAATCATGGTCATCTTTTAGATGTTTACCAGCGGCCTCGACCTGCGCAAGGCCAGCGGAACTAGTCTGTGATAAATAACGACGTCGCGCAGGGCCGGCGGAATTGAATCCCACCAGCTCTCTGCTGGTAGGTGGTCTGGGGCGTTTCCTCTTACACCACATTTCTTCCCTTTCGGGGAGGTGTTTATCACTTTTCCCTATTCATAAACACCCCCTCCCCCACCTGGCAGGCAGCCAACGCGGAACCACACGGGCATCCCCCCCACCATCCCTGTCAAAGGAAGATACAAAATGCACATTGCGGGGCCCACCCAGCCAATGCCTCCCACAATCCCTTGATTTAATGTGTTGAAAATATACATATAATGTATATAGTAAATAAGCTACTAATATATGATATACTACATAATATGATGTAGTTGCATATACTATAGTACATGTTTATGAGCAAGCATACAAATACACAACATGCTATAATATAAAAGCATCAAATATTAGAGAATGTAAGATGTTATACTATAACATGATAGAATGTTATGTGTCATAATATCATATAAAAATGCAATACCATAAAACATAATACGATAGACTACACTAGATTACAACATAATACGGTGTGATATGATATGGTACACCATCATATGATATACCATACTATACGTACAGTAGTATGATAACATATGATAAAATAACAGATGCGAATATAAAGTTAGATATAAGATACTCTAATATAATACAAAAATGTGATATAATGCAAGACTGCAGCGGCGCTTCGCGCCATGCACCTTGGTCCTTGAAGTTTGGCATGCCGGCGAAATAGCAGGAAGGTCAAGCCGACAAGTTAGCGATAACTCCTTGTTGCCTTTTCCGGCATCGCCGCTATAATAATGTTATTCGCTGCCCTTTCTCCGTGCTTCTGTTTCCTTATTTTCGCCATACCCTGCGCACACTCCCAATCCTCCCTGGCTCGTTTTTGCGAAGGCTTCTCCTTGGAGAGCCTCTAGGGGCCCCACAAAAGTTGTTTCAGGCTTTCTTAAGGCCTTATGGAGGCCTCCTGGGCGTATTCTGGGGGCCTCCGGGGGCTTCCTCGGGCCACCCCGCCTCCAACCGCGGTCTCCCTGAACAACCGGGTCACGATTCGGAATGCTTCGGAGGGTGTCTTTGGGCCATCTTAGGCCGCCATGGGGCTGTCGGAGGGCCATATTGGACCCGTGTTGCGCCGTTTTGGGGCTCTCTTGGACTGCCTGGAAGCCCTTTCGGATGGTTGTGGGGCGATTTGGGAGCCCCCCAGGCGGCTTCGAACGCCCAGAAGACCGCCGTCTTGGAGCGTCGGGAAGCTGGATAGAGGAGAACCGCAGACTTCACCAAAAACCAACAGAAAATCAATGATTTTTGCCTCGGGGGGCCTTCTTGGGAGTGCTCTTGGAGGCCTCTTCGGGGCCGTCCTGGAGGCCTCTTGGGCCATCTTGAGGTCACGTCGGTCACTCTTGGAGCAGTCTTGTGCTGTCTTGGGGGTCCCCGGGACGTCTCCGATGATCCCCCTGATCGCCCTAGGCGTGCTGGGAAGGCTTGGCAAAACGCCCTGCGAGGCCCAGGGGCCGCTTCGAGGCCCGTCTGGAGGTCCCCGAAGCCCCAGATCCCGGGAGTCCGGTTTTGGGGGGGGAGGTGACAGGTTTTCCCCCCGACTGGGCTTGCAAAAAATATAAGAAGAAGAATAGTACATACAAATATCAGCCAACCCCTTGTGGGTCTCTAGGCACGTGAGATTATCCCCCCCCTAATCCCCCCACAGGGACCCCAAACCAACAATTTTACCCCCCCTTCGGGCCGAGCCCGACCCGGGACCGAACGCGCCACGGGGGAGCGAAGGCTCCAAAACTGGCCAAGAAAGCATCAAAACGCTCCCCAGACGGTCCCAAAGGGGCAACGATTCGCCAAAATCTCGTCCCTGGACGCCCACCCAGGCGGCCTCCGAAGCTGCCAAGAAGCCCCAAAAAGCCCCCCCAAGAGGCGCCCCAAGAGGGTCCCAGGAAACAAAAATCGTCCATTCCCTTCGAATGCCATGCATTTTTCGCATTCTCGCCTTTCCGGTTTTCACGACGTCCCAGACGGGCAAAGAAACCTTCAATATCGCCCCCAGACGGCCAAAGGGGCCCCCAAAAAGGCTCGGAGAGGGCCAACAACAGTCCACAAAGCCCCCAAGACAACCCAAAAGGGCCCCCAGACGGCTCCAAGACGGAGTCCAGAGGGCACCTCTGTCGAGCCTTCGGCCCCAGGATGCCCCCAGCCGGGCCCAAGAATGGCCCGAGAGGCCCTGACGGGCCCCCGAGAGAACCTCAAAGGCCTCCGAGAAGCCCCCAGAAAGCCCCCAAGAGGCCCCAAAACTTGGCCCGAGATGCCACGAGGCGGCCGGACATGGCCTGCAGACAGGCCAAGATGCCACCTCAAGGCCACAAAAGAGCACCAAGAGGTACGATAACCGCAACGAAGAAACAGAAACGACGTCGAGCGCCGCGTCACGATTCGGACAAGCCTCGCGAAATGCAGTCCTGGAAGCGAAATAATTCATATTGGGGTCGGCGGACGTGGCGCAGACAAGGATGGCGGGGTACCCTTAGTGAAGCCGCTTTGTGCAAGACCCCCATCCGCGTCAAAAATACATGCAAGGCGCACGTTGCGACAACGTCGCGGGCATTGCGCTGGCCACCCGCGATCGCTTTGCACTGCGTTTTGACAGGGGCGGCGGCGGCGCCCGCGCGACGACGCCTGTCGCGCGCAGGCCCAAAACACTTCAGTCGCCCACCACATCAGCATCTGGGCCATGAACGGGGGGGTATCACGTTTTTTACGAGGATGGCACACCAACCGCAGCTCCGCGGCGAGCGTCGCGAACCTGGCGCCCGCGTTGGTTCCCAGTGGCTGCCCATCCAGTGGCGACCCCTGGCAATGCCGAGACTCGGACGCCACTTATGTGGTGGGAGGGCGGGCGGGGGTGAGCAAGACGGCCTGCGCGCGGAGAGGGCGCGTTGACCCCCCCACGCGCTTCCCTGGACCTGGACGGGGGTGATCGCGAGCGGTCGGGGCGCCCAACGCGGCCCAAGCTGGCCCCGCGAGGGCCTCAGAAAGCCCAAGATGGCCTCCAAGATGGATTAAGACAGCGCAAGATGCCTCAAGATGGCTTCAAACATGCCCCAGAATACCCCTAGAAAGTTCCTCGACGGCTCCAGGCGGCCAAAGAACTCCCCAAGGAAGCCCCGAAGAGGCCAAAGTCCAAAGCAAATCAACGTGTTGCGCGTTCCCGCCTTTTCGCTTCCGATGGCCATCCGAGCTTTCAAGGTGGCTCCAAGATGGGCCGACGGGGCCCCAGGAGAGACCCAAGAGAGCCCCAAGATGGCCACAAGAGCGCACAAGAGCGCTGAAAGCTCGCCCCACGAGCAGCCCAAGAGGCGAATGTTGGGGCCCGAGGGGGGGGGGCGCAAATTGGAGCCCCCCTCTCGCTCGATCGACGGCTTCCCATAAGGCCCGAAGAGCGCCCCTAAAAGGCCCCCGGGAGCGCCCCGGAGAGGGCCCCGAGGCCTCCAAGGGGCCCCCAAGAGACCCTCAAGAGACCCCCCAAAGGCTTCAAGAGGATCCCCGAGGCAGCCAAGATGCCCCCCAGACGCTCCAGGGGGCCCCCCCCGAAGCACCCAAGACGACCAAGAGTCTCCTCCTCCTCCTGATCATCAACCAGGACACGGCGACGACTTCCCCAGGCATAGACAGAACGTCGGCGCACCCACGATAGAAAGGAGCCCCAGCAGTAAGGCAGCGAAACTTTTTTTGCGGACACCGAAACAGCAGCCCCAAGGGCACCCTTGCAGCACGGCATGTCCTTGAACCCCAAGCTGCAACCGTGCGACCAACAAGGCGCTGGTGACATGCATCACACTGAATGGACAAGACGTAGAACATCCACACGCGCCCCGCATGCGTCGAGCCTGCACAGCGGTCCAGCGCGAAAACCCTTTCCAAAGGTGACGAGAACTGCGCCGCATAACGTCACAAAAATGAAGTAGCGACAGCCAGCGCACTGGACGTAGCCAGGGGCCCTTGTGGGCGAGAGGCCGGGCGGCGACCGCACGCTGGAGAGGAGGGGGCACGAGCAGCGCGACCAGCCATCAGGGCGGCCCACGCGCCGAGACCCGGAGGCAGTTGCAGCGGCCGGAACGACGACGCCGTGAAACAAGGCGCCCCTAGGCGACCAGCGAACACGCGGCGCCAGTAAGACAAGCACAGCAACGCCGCGGCGGGCAACCCGCAGGGGGGCGCGGCGGACGACCGGAAGCCCAGCAGCCAGCAGCCCGCAATGACGTGCCCGCGCGGAGGCCCAGA